GTGACAGCAATATGTCCATTTTGTCACTACATGTGGTGGCTTCAGGGCACTGAAACTTCTTAGTCACCACTTCCTTCTGCCTCCTCTTCATGTCCTCCTTTGCTCGGTCACTAACAGCACCGGCAAATGTATTTTTGGGCTGCGCTGCGCCTTGTGATTCATGTTTGGCTTTTCATCCCTCTTGTATTTGTCCTTTGCCTTTTCCCCAGAGCGTTTCTTCCTCCCACTAGCCATATCATTAACCTGAGTCCAGTAGAGCTGTCACAAGCCCTGAAGCCTTATCCCTGTGGGATACGTTTACTTATTCAGGAATCAGATTATTTTACTTTGTTACTCTCTGACCCTGGACAAGTTTCCTCTCTCTTCTTCAGTTTTCCCATTGGTAAAGTGAGTATGATAAACTTACTTTACAGGGTCATTGTGAGTATTAAATGTCAATGTATATAAAGTGCTCAGACAGAGCTAGTAAGCCGTCTTTTTTTAAGTGTTTGCTTTTATGTTTAAGCTTGTACATTCAAGATTATTACTGTACACACTGCTTTTACCTTTTTCCCAATGTGCTTCTTCAGTTACCTTCAGGTAACTCAATTGAAGTATCTCCCCATACCTGTAGCAGTTTAGACTAAGCAAAGAATCTTATAACCCTGAATTCTTTATCTGTCTCATTTCCTAGTTAGGTGATTTGCCTTTCCTAAACTATCACTGGGCTTCCCTGGTGGCTTGGATGGTAAAGAATCCGCCTGCATTGCGGGAGACCTGGGTTCCATCTCTGGGTTGGGAAGATCCCCTGGAGGAGAGCATGGCAACCCCCTCCAGGATTCTTGGCTGGATAATCTCCATGGACAGAGGGGCCTGGCAGGCTGCAGTCCATGGGGCTGCAAAGAGTCAGACACGACTGAGTCTCTGAGGCTAAGCACACACTCTTATCACTAGGTCCTGCCAGTGAAGAACCGGTCACCACCAGTTCTTTCAGACCCATGTCTTTCCATTGTCAGGCAGTCGTTTTAGCTGGTTCCCCTAACTCCAGTCAATCACTCTCGCTTCCTGCAAATGATTAAAGAATCTTTAGGCTTTGTCTTGTTCACTGGCATAATATTGCTTGGCATATAGTAGGCACTCAGTATTTGTAGGAGTGATTCATGGATTGGTATTAGCCACCTTTAGAAATTTTCTATAGTATTAAGTCTAAACTCCCTAAGCCTCCTATTAGATTTTCACTGTTGCTGTTTAGTAATTTCACACAGTTGATTCTGTATTTCATCTCAGTAAAGCCACTTTTTATTCCATACTTATATTAATTCTTGTTTCCATATAATCCATATTACTTGGGATGCCCTTCGTTTGTATTGTCATGCCTGTAGTGAAGTAAAGTGTTAGTTGTGCAGTCATGTCTGACTGTTTGCGACCCCGTGGACTGTATGTAGCTTCCCAGGCTCCTCTGTCCATGGAATTCTCCAGGCAGGAATACTGGAGTGGGTAGCCATTCCCTTCTCCAGGGGATCTTCCCGACCCAGGGATGGAACCCAGGCCTCCTGGATTGCAGGCAGACTCTTTACTGCCTGAGCCACCAGAGAACCACCCTGTAGAGCACACGGTTTTTATAGAATTGTTTCTTTCTTGGCTCTGCCGACTCTAGTCCCATTACTGTTGTGTGGTATCTTGGCCCCTGTGTCTGGTTTTCAGTGCATCAGTTTGTATTTAAATCCTTGGTGGTTATGCTGTGTCTGTTTTCCTTGATGATGAGCTCCTGTGGATCAAGGACAGTCTCGGCTTTCTTGTAACCTTCTGTACTCAGCACCAGTGACATACCCTAACACTTCTGGGTGATTAGTAACTGATAGAGACCACCGTTAGTTTCGTCTTTAATAAAAAGTTACGGGGCCATAAAATGGTGGGGGATTTGGGAATGTATTGTTCAAAAGAGTTTGAGCCTACAGAGGAGTCATTCTGCTCTGTATAGGTAATTCTGGGGTGGTACTCAGCTCTGGTCTATATTGATTAATTTTTTGATACTTTATGATCTCAGATATTTAATGTGGGTAGAGGGTAACCCATAAAACTAGCCTAAAAATATAATTAAATAATATTTGACTTCATGGCCTGAATTTTTTACATATTTATTTTTTAGTTTAATCTAAAACTGGAACATATTTATAATTCAGTTTGCAATATAATTTGACTGGCAGAAGTGAAGAACAGAGTAAACCAGAAAATTTCATCTTAGATAAATTGAAGTTACTTTTACCAAAAATATCAGAATATAGGAGCTTCTTAGCAGTAGAATCTGGATAGTTTATTTCCAGCATTTAGATGTGAGGCTCCCTGAGCTGGAATAAGAAGATATGCCATCCAGCAGTACCTCATCCATAGAGTTTTTATTCTCACCCATTTGAATCTTCAAACTGAACCCTTGACTTATTGGGCTGAAGGGCAGATGGGGAAAGACTCAGCTTTCCATTGTGATGAAGAAGGGAGTATTCAGATCTAGGAAGTCACAATGCCTGGTAGACTGTACATCTGTTTTAAGGTCGGCTCGCACTACTGTTTCAGCCCTGTACAAGAAGCTGCCTCTCATCCTTGTTTCCTGGGAGGCTAAAAATGTAGGCTGTCTTTTGGTCAAGACATGATTCTGCCTAGTTTGACAGCTTTGGTTTGCTTTCCTGTTTTCTATCTCTTGTGGTACATGAATATGAAGCAGTGTGTATGAACCTAGAAACCAATTTAGAGGTCATTTTTATCCTGCCTCATTTAGCTAATTGAGAAAAGTATTTGAGGTTAAAGAATGTTGCTCGAGGTCGTACACCTAATTAATAACAAGGCTGGGAATATAGTCATGGTCTCCTGATTCCAAAAGTAAGGTCTCTTGGGACTTCCCTGGCATTTAAGACTTCCCGCTTCCACTGCAGGGGGTGCTCGGATTTGATCCTGGTCAGGGAGCTAAGATCCTGCATGCCATACTGCGTGGTCAAAAAAAAGCAACCAAAAACCAAGGTGTAGAATGGTGCCTCTCTAAGAGAACTTTTTTCTAGCAGAACAGTTATGTAAATATATGGGCTTTCCCGGTGACTCAACGGTAAAGAATCTGCCTGCAATGCAGGAGACGCAGGAGACTGGTTCAATCCCTGGGTCGGGAAGATCCCCTGGAGGAGGGCATTGCAACCCACTCCAGTATTCTTGCCTGGAGAATCCCATGGACAGAGGAACCATGGTGGGCTGCGGTCCATGGAGTTGCACAGAGTCAGACACGACTGAAGGATCTTAGCATGCACGCATGTAAATATTTATATGCTCTTGTACCTATCAGGCTGGTATCAGTGGGATGTGTATCTGAAGGTATTTTCCTGAGAGAGATGATGAGTCTGTAGTGAACTCTCCACCTTCTCTTTGCTAGTTTTCCTAATGGTCAGGCCATCTGAAAGACACTGGTAGGTTTCTTTGCCTTAGAACAAGGCTATATATCAAGTATGTACACAGTGAAGTTTGCACAACTGATTTTATAATTAGCATACTACAGTGTGATGGCTACTAGTGTAGGAAACTGCTGGTGATCACAACTAGGCTTGAAACATACCCATCTTCACAGTGTCATAGCAGTGTTCAGATTAATTAGTGAACAACACAGAGGCTGCACATTAAACACAGAGGAAGGGGAGATTCACGTGTATCAATACTTGGTGACTGAGGTCTCACCCCAGCCCATCTTATGTAACACAGAAAGCATGCCCAGGTCAACCCTGGGTGCCTTGGTGACTGTTCCAGTCTCATGTGGGATTCTTTGTATTTTCAGCCTATTGATAGTGGCCACAGAGATCAGTTTATTAACTCACCTGTTCATTGATAACCATTTCTCAGTGTCCCACTTCCCATATTCATTAGCCTATGTATGAGTGTTTTGTATATAGATGTTTTTGGTTTTTATCTATATTGAACAAGGGACACATTATGAATACCTTACAATAAAGCATTCATTCAGTATGCCCTCAAGTTCCCCAAGGGAAGCTCTGGTAATTACAATGCAGTTTATAAAGAAATTAACCATGGAATATCTTCTTTTAAACTGCAAACACTTTTTATCCCCTCCCCTTAGCAGTGGGTTATAAACTTCATACTCCTTTTGTTCTTCCTTTTTAACCCATAGCTTCTTTGTAACAGATTGACTAATAATTAGGATAAATAAAACACCTCAGTCACTTCTGTGGTAATTGTGCTAATGAGATTCATATATAAGCCATGAGCCCGTGGCAGCTGGTAAGCTTGTCATCTCTAGTTTGTGATTTCTTTCTACTGAGGTCTTCTGGCGAAGGAAGTCTAGGCATTAAGAGAACCACTCTGGGACACTATTGTGGAGAATTGGGCTTAGAGATCTGTTTTTTTTTTTTTTTTTTTTTAAGGTTAATTGATTCATTTCCTAAAAAGATATCCCACTGTAGTTTGAATTTCCACTTAATTTGGTCTGAGCATTGATATATTAGTAAATTGGGATTTTGTGTGCTTTTTTTTCCCTTTTTTTTTTAATGAAAATGTAAATTAGGTATGAAATGACTTAGAAGTGTGAGGGTAAGGAGCTAGGGTCCTGGTTCATTTGATAAACACTCAGATCATTGGGGGCTTCCCCGGTGGCTCAGACAGCGAAGAATTTGCAACGCAGGAGACCCCCAGGTCTGATCCCTGGGTCAGAAAGAGCCCCTGGAGAAGGAAATGGCTACCCATTCCACTATTCTTGCCTGGAGAATCCCATGGACAGAGGAGCCTGGCAGGCTACAGTCCACGGGGTTGCAAAGAATCGGACACCACTGAGCGACTAGCTAACACTTTCACTTTTTCAGATAATTGGTCACGGGCCTTGATAATGGTCGTTGACCACTGACAGAGATTGGTCTTATTTTATGTTTTTTTCCCTTTTAAGTGGCAAGCCAGTGCGATATTTGAGCATTTGCACGATGTAAAGAAAGATGCATTCATTTAGGCTAAACCCTTTTTCATTTCTTCCCTTTCTGAAGGTGCACTCACAGAGTGCTATGATGAACTGGGGAATAGATACCAGCTTCCAGTCTATTGCTTGGCACCACCAATCAACATGATAGAGGAAAAGAGCGACATAGAGACTCTGGATATTCCTGAGCCACCGCCCAATTCTGGGTATGAATCTCAGCTCCGTTTGCGCCTCTCCACTGGCAAAGACCTCAAGCTTGTGGTCCGCAGCACAGACACAGTGTACCACATGAAGAGACGGCTGCATGCTGCGGAAGGAGTGGAACCAGCTAGTCAGCGGTGGTTCTTTTCTGGCAGACCTCTCACCGACAAAATGAAATTGGAAGAGCTGAAGATCCCAAAGGACTATGTTGTACAGGTTATAATGAGCCAACCTCTGCAGAATCCAACACCAGTTGAGAACTGACCTAGTCCTGTTGGCTGTCCCCAAATCCTTCATGCCCCTTTTTATTGTTATCATTTCCTACTCTATGGCGTGAAATCTATTTTCACTGCTCTGAATTCCGTATGAATGGATTTAGTTCTGAGGAATTATCAGTGAAAAATTCCATCTGTGATGGAGACCAACAAAAATAATTAATAAAACACAAAGAGCCAGCCTTTGAGACTCATGTAATTACAATTTCTAATTCAAGAGGCAATTAAGAAATAGATAACCTTTTATTTTAAAATACCCAACAACTATGTAATGGCTGTATTTAAATGATTTGGACTGTAAATAGAAGATTGCATCCATGAAGAACAGCATCAAACACCTGTGAATACAGAGTTCTTAAATATAATTTCCAGAAATCATCAATAACAGTTATAAAACTTGAGCTTTTTGAAATGGAAACTAAACAGAGCAGTACTTGAGGTTCAATAACTTTTCTGGTCTTAGTTCTTTGCTCAAGTAATATTTAGCCATAAAGGAGTAGAGACTGGCAAATTGTGTTTCAGGATTGCTATTCCCATGCTCATAGGATGAGCTCCTTATTTACGTTCACACTAAATTTTGGTGCCTTTCTAGCGCGTTGGTGGCAGGCATCTTTCTGGAACACTAGGCAATAATTTAGTCAGTGCATTCAGATCTCTGATTTTCAACTGATACTTAGTTGAAAAGTCTATTGTCTTCTTGCTACATAAGTATTTTGAAATGTCTGTTATAATGAAGCTGTTTTCACATCCAGGCTTAGAAGGTCACTACTATATATATAATACCTTTATTGATCTACCTATTCTGCTTGGAACTTTCAGAGCTAACTGTGCCCAAAATGCATGCATACTAGGCCAGGGAATGCACAGAATCAATAAAGTAATTATCTTGTCTCCCCCAGTTTGCAGGAAGGTTGTAAGGAAAACCCATTCTGTCTGTGCCTAGGAGAATTGTGCCTGTCTTCAATCTTTCAGAAAAAAAATTTCAAGTCATAATTTACTAGTGAAAATTTGCTAGTGAAAAATTTCCTGACATCACTTAAACATCGGCAGTGAGACCTAATGATGATACGTTGCTTTATACTTCAGTGCTTACCATAGCTCACTATTACCTGTAGTTGTGGTGGATGAGAATTTTCCTCTCTCATCTTTCCTAGAGGCAAATTAAGAAGCATCTGCAGATTATAAGACTGAAAAATTCCATGGGATAATCTGATTTTTCTGTACAATGACTGGAATAAAGCTGCCAAGGATTGTATTTAATTCAGAGCCTTTTCAAAGTTGGTTCCATAGGTGAGAAGGAGGCTAGCACATACAGTATCTCTGAATCCCTGGGAATCCGTGAGATGGAGAAGCAGAGGCAAGAAGGCACTCACGTGGTTCTTAAATGGGAAGTAATCAGACCTCCACACTCATTTTGGATGTGAAGCACCATTATCAATTTCAATAGCAGACAAACTGCTAATTTAGTTTAAATGTTATGTTTAAAATGTTATTAAATTTCCTATAGCCTGATTAGATACAATATCTATAATTGTAACATAGCCTGTTTCTGAGAGCTTTAACTGTTTCTCTTTTTTATGCAATCATTTTAAAGATTGTGGCTGCATTTAATTTAGCTTTGCTGATAATTGAATCTAAATTCAAGAGGAGACAGCAGCATTAATTCCAAAGGAATATTTTTATATGTGGAGGTGGAGGTATGTGAGGGTGTTTTAGTATAATGCCCCCATCATCAAAATGTTTCTTAATTTGTGTGCCACATTAAACAGCAGCATCTCTCAAAGTTTGTCAACTGGAGGAAAAAAAAAGTTCAAATCTATTTTTCTTAAGTAAATTTGGTGATATAATTATCTATGGTTGGTAAAAGTTTTTTTGTTTGTTGAGGATTTGAGCTCTGTTAAGAGTTTATTTTATTTTAAAGGAACATATACTTTGAATAACAATTTTCTGGGCATGTTTAACTAACCTAGGTGAGAAAACCATGGTGCTGTTTAATTGTAAATAGATTGATATAAGATTGGACCAATACTTGATGTGTACAATTTTAGTATGTAGGGTTTTTGTGCTTTTTAAAAAAAAAAAAAGTTCAATTTTTCTCTTTGTCTTTGCCTTTATTCTGAGTGTTTAACTATTATTACTGTCCACAGTAAGAGTAATCTGCTTCTTTCTGATAAAACTTCTGAAAAGATCTTTCCCCTTTTAAAAACCTTCCAGGTCAGTATCACCTGGAAGTATCAATAACTAGTTCAGTATCACCAAACCTAAACTCTGCAGTATCAAACCATGCATGGTCTTTTTTTTTTTTATGGTCATTTATAGATATACTTTTATACTTTATTTGCTGCATTGAAACCTTGGTCTCTTTTTCTTTTAAGAATCATGCTGTAAACCAAAACCCATCATTCAGTTTTTCAGAAGGATTATCCATTTTGGATCAAAGTGGCAGGTTTTGATTGTTGAATTTTTATTTAAAATAGGGGATATGCACACATGGGAAAAAATCCGAACATAACCAAAAAGTCTCTCTTCGACTCCTGCTCTTCGTCTCGCATTTCTTCTCTCCAGAGGTAACAGCTGTTTCCAGTTTTCTGGATATCTTTAGAGATACTCTAGCACAGTGGTTCTCACACTTCAGCATACATCAGAATTACCTGGAAGGCTTATTAAAAACACAGATTTAAAAAACATGAAGATTGCTGGACTCCTTTCCCAGAGGTTCCAAGTTAGTAGGTCTGAATCGGGGGGGTACAAAAATTTGCATTTCCAAAAGTTCCCAGGTGATGCTGCTACTGCTGATGCCAGTGTGAGAACCACTGCTCTAGTGTGTGTGATATATTCACCCATCCTGCCTTGTCTTTTTCATAAATAACATACGCTATTCTATACATTTGATTTTGGTGAATCTTAGAGATTGTTCCCTATAACTAGAGCTAGATCTGCTTCATTCCTCTTATAGCTGCAGTGGTATTCCATTGTTTGGAGTACCACAGGTCTTCCTAGACTTCTGGCACTGTAAACTGCTCCTGTGAAATATCCTTTTCTGTAGTTACATCTTTGTGTCTGTGTACAACTATGGAATACATTGCTGAAGAGGGAGCATTGCTCGATCAGTGTATGCATCTAGAGAGCAGATGCTGAATTGCCCTCCAAATGGATTTTTACCAGTTTAATGCTGTGGACTATGTCTGCTCTTATTTTGCTATACCCTGACCAACCTTTTGATCTTTGACGGTCTAGGTGGAAACCTGTGTCTTGTGATTTAAGTTTGTTTTTTTTCCTTTGAGTGAAACTTAGCATTATACTATATATTTTAAGGCTATTTGTTTTTGCTTTTGTTTTTTTTTTTCTCCTATGAATTATCTATGTTTGCCCATTTTCCTAATCCATTTTGGTCTTTATCCTCTTGATTTGTGGATATTTTTTCTATATTAAGGATATAATGCCCTTAATATAGGATTTGTTGTTCTCTATCATCTGTTATCATTTGTTTTTGTGTAATTTATCATGTAAAATTTTTGCTTTGAATGGTCAGATCTATCAGTCTTGTATTTTATGGCTTCTTGGTTTTCTTCCTAAGGTCTTACCCACACAAATTATAGAAGATTTTTCAGGACATGAATAATGACCCCTCTCAGCAGGTGTTCGCCAAGTTGATTTGGCCTTTTGTTGTCCTTGGCTAAGAACTAATGCAAGAAATTCTTTCCCCTTTGCAGCTGATGTAGATTGTGGACCTGTAGCCCCGTGGCCCTGGACTGAAACTGGAGCCACACCTGCAGCTACATTCGCGTTCTCCCGTCCCTCCAGTGCTGCCCCTCACCCACTGCTGAGATTCCTTAGGGAACATACACTTGGCTGGCCCAGGAACTCTAACAAAACTGTGATATAGAGTTTTCCTGCCATCCAAAAACTTATCTAAACATGCTTGGTCTAAACTCTACCCTTAATAGCACAGTGGATTAACTCACTGTGGGGATAATGAAACTTTTATTTAAAATTTGAAATTTTAATTGAATAAATTTTAGTTTAAAATGTATTTAGCCCAGGGATTTCCCTGGTGGTCCAGTAGTTAAGACTTTGTGCTGCCAATGCAGGGGGTGTGGGTTCGATCCCTGGTCTGGGGACTAAGATCCCACATGCCATGTGGAATGGCCAACAGATAAAGTTTTTTTTAAAAATGTATTTAGCCCAAATTAAAACCTAGTATACCCTATTATTTGGCTATCCCTCAATCCTTCCTGCTCCCCATTCTAAAACAATAAAAGGAATGATATCTTCATTGCTTTAGAGACCATGCTTGAGGGAAAAAAAAGACATATACTATTGTTGAGTTACCTTTATATATCTCAAGCGTGCTCCCCTGGGAAAATGAGAAAGAGAAGACTTCCCTTCCTCAGACCTCACAGTTTCTCCTTCCAGAACTGCACCCAGGTCGTAAGGCTGTCTGGTAGCAAGAGCTATTGAGGCTGCATGAAGAGAGGCAGAAACCCATCCCAAGGTAAGCCTAGTGGTGTGGTGAGGCTCTTTGAAATGATGGTTAATCTCTTGCTGTCATTTTCCAGCCAGATACTGCTAGTCTCTCAGTACAATACTCTTACAGGTGTAGTAGTGTCCAAACTTATTTGCCAGAGGGTGTTCTCCTTGGAGAATTAACTGTTCACCAAATCAGGGGAGAAGAGCATTGTTCTAAGTGAGATGCTTTTCATCTTCCTGGTCTTCACAACAGTTCTTGAGATGGATCCCATTATCCCTATGTATAAACCAGAAATCAAGAGATGTGTGTTTCAGGGGGGCTTTTTGGTCTTTTGCTAGTTACATTTAGTTTTTGTAGTACCATTGTGGGGAAGAGAGAAGGTTTGATTTCTAAGCATTACTCATAAGTAAGTAAAATCTCATGACCATGAGAGTAAATACAAAGGATGTTCATAGTAATTAACATGATCTCAGTTATTAAAACTTTGACTTATGAATGAAAATTTTCGATAAGCAGTATTCTTGTCTGTTGCCCATTGACAAAGCAATGTTGATGATTAAGAGCTCTGAATGCTGTGGTCAGTTATATCACGTCGTGTGTCTTTAAGAAATCCTTGGTTTATAGGAATTGGGTTGCATTTCTCCAGGGGCCAAACTTGTCCCTCTGAAATCTATGGTCGAAGGACATGGGGTGATTAGCATTATGCAGAAGAGATTTCTGAGCCAGTGAAATGTCAGCGTGAAACTTACACAGGATCTGCTAGGACTGAAGTGAGTTAGATCAGTTGTTCTAAGCACCTTGAATTTGAACTCTGGTCCTACCACTGTGAGTCATTAAGAACCTTAGATAGGTTCTTAATCTTGACACCTCAGTATCCTCATCTGTAAATTGAGAGTAACGGTTTTCAGGGTTAGGAGGATAAATAAAGCCATGTGTCTGAAGCCCCTGCCTCACCCATAGCAAGCGCTTACTGAATGGTAGTTATATTTAATATCACAGTACAGTCCGGCAGGGAGGGTTCACAAATCCCACGCTAAAAACACTTACAAATTATTCAAGGCATTACTCACACAAAAAATTAAAATTATACAAGGACATGTAATAATTATTTTACCCTAGTAGATTTGGTATAGTTGCTTAAGCACCTAACTCATCAAAGAGTAATTCAGGTTCTAGGAAGAACATAGTCCCCATATCTTTAAAAGTCAATTTCCCTTATGCGTGGAGGCGCATTTCCATTTTGAAGTTTGTTTTTAGCCTTAAGGATTGGGAGAATAGAATTTTGAAAGTATTGGACCTCTTGTGGCAAATCTTAGGAAAGCATCAACTTCCAACTGCTTAGCTCCAGGAAGAGCTAGTAATCGATACACAGGGACCCTCGTGGACAGGGTTGATCTGAAAAGCAACAGCAAAACTGGGACATGTCAAAAGAAGAAGTGATTATATCACTATGAGTCATGTGAGGCCTCAGGGTTATTAAGGTTAAGAATATGTGGGTTGAACGCTCATCTGAACCCTGCATGTGTAAAAATGAGAGATACTTACTTTGATGGTCTAAATTTATTTTTAAGACATGTTAACAATTGTAATTACTTATACTTTCAAACTGTTTTGTTCCAAGAAGACTCTCTCTCTGGCTCTCGTTAACTTGTGCCACTTTCTTTTGGAGTAAAGCTTTCTCATTCTTCTTCTCTTTCTCTGCTTTTTGACTCTCCTGATATTTGTCCATGGAGAAGATAGTAAACAGCTTAAATTCCTTGTAATTAAGAAGCTTGTGTTGGGAAGGAAAAAAGGAAAGTTATTTCAGAAAGGATTTGATACTTTGTTTCAGATGGGAGCAGGATTGTAATCACTTCTCATTTAAAACCTTAGAACCTTGATTAAAGAGGCCCAGTAATTAGGATGTAATTACAGTCTGCTTGTAGTCTAGACCCAGAAACAGTCCATTGTAGGCTCAAAAGGCACCAAGGGGCACTTTTTACTTCTGCTACCTCAGGTCCAGACATGTTCAGGCTACCATCTGAGCTTTCTCGCAGTGTGGTCCATCTTTTTAAAGCTTAGACTGTAGCTCTCACTTGCTAGTTAACATGGACTTGGAATAGGCTCTTCACTGAATGGACTTGAAATAGATATTCACTGTTTTCTCCATAGCTGTTTTCTCTTGGAATTTAACTCATGTGTTCCCATCTAAGAATTTCTTCATTTCTACTTATTAAAATCTATAACCCTTCCTCTTAAGACCAATTCCTGCCATATTAAAATATTTCCTTCTTTCAACTAAAATTCTAACAATTTCCTTCTCTAAACTTCTCTCACTTTATATCCACATTATGTGATGTGTAGCACTTACTCAATCCTCTCTCTTCCAGAGGCCTGTCCATCTCCTCAGGTGTTTTATGATCCCAGTGCCATGACACTCCAGTGGGTTTTTCCTTCCCTCCTCTTTCCCTGTCTCCACTGTAGGTGTCAGGACACAGTCCTCTAGCTCTGGACAGAGGGGCTGCCAGGCCACAGCTTCACAGGTGGCTCGGGGTAAGGAGTCTGCCTGCCAGTGCAGGAGAGGCAGATTCGATCCCTGGGTTGGGAAGATCCCCTAGAGGAGGAAATGGCAACCTGTCCCTGGAAAAGTCTCCTCTTTCCCTGTCTCCACTGTAGGTGTCAGGACACAGTCCTCTAGCTCTGGACAGAGGGGCTGCCAGGCCACAGCTTCACAGGTGGCTCGGGATAAGGAGTCTGCCTGCCAGTGCAGGAGAGGCAGATTCGATCCCTGGGTTGGGAAGATCCCCTAGAGGAGGAAATGGCAACCTGTCCCTGGAAAAGCCCAGGGACAGAGGAACCTGGTGAGCTCCAGTCCAGGGGGTCACAAAGAGTTGGACACGACTGAGCACGCACGCTGCTAGGCCACATGTTGGGGACTTGCACTTACGCGGTCACCTGTGATGTCGAAGTTATAGTAGAGGTCTCTGAGTTGCTCTTTTTTAATATTAAAGAGAAAGTTGTACATGTACAGGTTGTCTGGGCCAATTTTCAGCTCCCCATCCAGGTCAAGCAACTCAAAAACAGGCCGGGAATGGCGGAAGAGAAATTGCTCTTCCAAATGGTTCTGTTTTCAGAGAAAAACATAAGGAAAGGAACAGTATTGTTGGTACTACTTTCTAAACTTGCTACATCAAGACTCATCTATTCACTAGTCCATTCCCTAGAGAGCTAAAAGCAAAAGGCAGAATCAGCCGTTCAGGGCCGAAAGGGTGCTGTGGTCAATGTATCAGATCTGCTCCAGCATCTGCCTTCCAGGGGAACTGATGCTATCTGTAGTGATTAGTGCTGCTAGATGGAACTCTCAGTAGTAGAATGCATTTCCTTGTGTTCAGTGAAAATCTACATGAGAAAATTTCAGTGCTGGTGATAAAATGATGAAGACACGAGGCGCCCTTCCTTAAGGAGAGGGAAAGAGGTGAATACACTCTCGGAGTATGTGCAAGGTAAGGTGGGTACCCAAAGATGAGCAGGTCTTGTCTAGCTCATTCATCCCCTTCAGAATATTCTGTGAGGAAGGGGATCACTGAGGAAGAGAGGCAACTGGGATTACTGGTGATTATTTAAGACCCACCAGCTGGAAGGGCGAGCCAAGGAGAGATGTGATATGATGAGATTTGTTCTTTATAAAGGCAAGGTGGGAGGGAAGCTGGGTAGCCTTTCAGAACTCCTAGGTTATAGATGGACCATTTAGGAATCAAAAGCAGTACTCGCCCTGTTTCTTCCTCCTGTTTCAGTGAAAAGCAGAAACATTCTGGCGCACTCTTAATGTGGTGCCACCTTTGGCGACATGGTGGCCGCAGCCCCAGAGTCTGACTGGCTACTCGCCTCTTGCGCCAGCAGTATGCACACCAGCATGTAGAACTGGTCAAAACCAATCTCGCCCGCCGCATTCCAGTCCAGCATGTGGAACACAACTGTGATCTGGTTCCGCGTCAAGTCAGTCACGTGATGAAGGAAGTGGTAAAACAGCACATCTGTTGACAGGGAGATGAGAGGGGTTATTCTGAAACAGTTCCAAAGTGTTCCGCATCTGGGAGCCACAGAAATGGTGGTGCTGCTGGAAGCTTGTTGACCTGGCAATAGTAATGATAATACTATGTTTCTGGCTTTGCCACTGCACACTCCATGGTGCCTGGACTTGGGAAGAAGGAGAGGGCGGGCCGGGCTTGGTTCCCAGGCGCAGCTCGTGTGCTCGGTGGAGCAGACCGGTGTGTATATATAACCAATAAAGGGCTCAACGTGCTCCTCGTGCATAGAAGGGAGAGCTTAGTTCTCACTGGGGACCCAGGACATGTTCTTGGAAAAGCTGACATTTCATCTGGGTCTTTCACTTGAGAGAATTAAAACAAGAAATTTAAAAATCATTGCTCTTTATAAAATTATCACTGTGCCTCATGCTTACATAACACAAATGCTTTCAATGGTGGGGAAAGGAGATATCAGGCACCTCAGGTGCTGGGCACTTTAAGTGCTGCGTGTCACTGCACCCAGGCAGCTACACAGCCTTTTACAATAAGCTTTGGGTGACAGCTAGGCTTGGGGCTTCTCAAGCGGTAAATGGGCACACCAGCCACTTGGGGATCTTGCAGACACAGAGGCTGTGATCAGAAACTCTGGCTCGGGACTGCTGAGTCTGCATCCTAACAAGCTCCCAAGTGATGCGGCCGCCGCTGCTGTGTGGACCACACTCGGAGGGGCAGAGCTGACTTCTCAGGTGGCCGTCTGACTCCACAGCCCTGCTCTGCCTACAGGGAAGCCGCATCTTCTGTGCATTCGTTAATGCAGCTGCAGTCATAATTGGAGGGAAAAAACTGTAGTTTAAAGGACAGGGAAGGTTTTTGCCTGAAATTCCACTCACTCATCATCTGTCTCGGGGAATGTTAGATGGAAGAAACAAACATGGTGATATGTTTACACAGTGGTATGTGGCTGTACAGGTTGTATGTACAGATCACCCACAAGATTTCAGAGATTCTCAAGTGTAACTTTGTCTTCATGTGATTTCTTCTTGCCCATTGATTACAGAGGGCTTCGAACCCACATCTCTTGCAGCTCCTGCATTGGCAGGCAGGTTCCTTACCACTAGCGCCACCTGGGAAGCCCTACCTTATTTATACCCAGTCCTAAAAGAGATAAAAACCAAAAGACGAACAAACAAAAAAGCCCTAAAGTGTTAAAGCCCTAAAGAACCCACCTGCCAATGCAGGATACGCAAGAGACCCATGTGCGGTCCCTGGATCAGGAAGATCTAGAGGAGGGCATGGCAATCCACTCCAGTATTGTTGCATGAAAAATTTCACGGACAGAGGAGCCTGGGGTTGCAAAGAGTCAGACAGGACTGAGCAACTGAGCATGCACACGTACACATTAGTTACATTGTCTTATGTCTCCTGCACAAGAGGCGGCTTCACTAACTCTGTAAAGCACATCTGTGTGGTTGGAGTCCTGGCTGAAGCGGGCCAAGGGTACAGTGCACCAGTCAACACAGTGTCATGGCCTGAGAGTCTGATGGCCGCTTGGTGTTCCTTTCCCACGTCCCACCGGGTGTGAGCACTGGGGACACACCATGTGTAAACATGGTGACGCCTGCCTGTGTCCTTGCTTCTTGAGGAGTGTTTTATTGTAAGGCTGAGTAGCTAATTAACAAATAGTTTTTCAACCAGCCGACTCTGGGCCAAGCATCCAGGGCTGTACGTCACCACATCCCTGGCAGGCAGAGCTCACGCCTGTGCCTTCCTCCAGGTTGCTATCCGGTCCCTTGGTGACCAGAAAACACAAGTGTGACTTCATCTCTCAGGTGTTGCATCAGCGGGGAGTGACTTAGTTACCAGGGAGATCAGATTGCTCAGCAAACACTCGTGAGACTTAGGAGTATGGGCTTTAGAGTCAGAAACCCTTGGGTTTTGGGGCCAGCTTTTCTGTTTATATCAAGGTGCCCTACAGGTGCTTTATCTAGGACTGGGTTATTGGGAAGATTTGGTGACATACTGTGTATAAATCTGAGGCTTGAAAGTGAATAAATGAAGGTATCTTTATTATAAGGATTGAATGAACTCTAAAAAATTTTTATGGAAGAAACTCCTTGTTGATAAATGATATTTCTCTCCCTCAGATGACAATGAGTGAATAGGGTACCTTATTTATGCTAAGTCTCATCAGTCATGTCTGACTCTGTGACCTGATGGACTGCAGCCCGCCAGGCTCCTCTATCCATGGGATTCTCTAGGCAAGAAGACCAGAGTGGTTAGTCATTCCCTTCTCCAGGGGATCTTACCCACCCAGGGATCAAACTCACATCTCTTGCAGCTCCTGCATTGGCAGGCAAGTTCTTTACCACTAGCACCACCTGGGAAGCCCTGCCTTATCTATACCTAGTCCTAAAGAGAAACAAAAGCCAAACGAACAAACAGAAAGCCCTAAAGTGTTGTAATTGGTCTTCTATTAGTTTGTGCACTCAATAGCAGGGTTGAGCTCATCAACACTCTTCGGTCACAAGTACCAGGAGTTAGAAGGGACCGTGCAGATTACCTGACTCAGTTCCCCCATTCTATAGGAAAGTTTTGCTAAGGGACTCTTGAGGGTTAGGCCTGAGTGGGGTCAGCCACCAGCAAAGCTGTCGTCATAATGGACACATTAAATTCTTAGAGTGTGCCGGGCACTGTGCTAAGCACTTTCCGTACCTTATCTAATTTCATCACCTTTTTTTTTGGCTGCACCATGCAGCATGAAGCATCTGAGCTCCCAAACTGAGGACTGAACCCACGGCCCGTGAAGTGGAGGCGCGGAGACTTAACCACTGCACTGCCAGGGAAGTCCCTCATTATTGTTATTTTCCAACCATGAGATGCACTCCACTATTAGAAGCCTCACTTATGGATGAAGAAAATTAGACTTAAAAGAGGATGATGACATTCTGCAAGTCACCAGGAGTAACAGGTGCAGCCAAGAGCTAATCCCAGAACTTGTTCTGTCTGCCTCACTGAGCTGCCGTCAAGGCTCGGCTGGCAGGGCTTCTCTGTGCTTCATTTCGAAGATGTAACGCATATGTTAATGAACTAGTTTCTGGTTCCGTAAGTTCTCCTGCACATTCATTAAAAACCAAGTAACGACCCAGAAGAAGCACTTACGGAAGTACTGACCATTCAAGGTGTTCTTGCGGTGCACGTCAAGAAGGTGAAAATACTCCACCAAGGCCTTCACATTTCTCACAGATAATAAGCAATACAGCTTGTCCAGATAAAGGTACCACAGAAACGATCCTTGCTTCAGTTTCATTATGGAGCCCTTTAAGCCGAAGACTCTGGCAACCTGAAGTAGAACAGAGAATTCTGCCTCAGAACTAGAATGTTGGGTGGAGAAAAGCTCTGGTAGTAAAGCTCTTCCTAGGTCAGACATCACAGGAAACAGCCAATAAAAACTTAAAATTGTGACAGTTCCTCTGGCTGACCAGTGTTGAGGACTCGGCGCTTTCACTTCAGAGGCCCAGGTTCAATCCCTGGTGGAGGAACTAAGATCCCACAAGCTAAGCAGGGTGGTCAAAAATAAAAAATGAGAATTTTCCAAAGTCAGTGAAAGACACCCATCCACAGACTGTGCTCATTATTATTATCAAAGCAAACAGCTATGTAACTACATGCCAGGCACTGTACTAAGTGTGTTAATATATTAACTCATTTAGTCTGAAGACTAGTCATAGAATCCTAAGAGGCAGAGATTATTATACCTATTTTACAGATTAAGAAACCGGCTCAAGGCTCAAGAAACAAACTGTTGTGTATAAAATAAGCTACAAGGATATATTATACAAGGAATATATATTCTATATTGTGTGTGTGTGTGTGTATAATATATACATATATATTTGGCTGTGCCTCACAGCTTGCAGGATCTCAGTTCTCTAACCAGGGATTGAACTTGTGCCCTTAGTAGTGAAAGCATAAACTCCTAACCACAGAACCACCAGGGAATTCCCTAGCCAATATTTTATAATGACTGTAAATAGAATATAAACTTTAAAAATTGTGGACCACTATGTCGTACACCTGTAAGTTATATAATACTGTACATCAACTATATCAATAAAAACATAAAAAAAAAACAGGCTCAGAAAAGTTAAGTAGTTTTCCTAATGTCAATAGGCTAATTAATGGTGAAGTCAGCATGTGAACCCAAATAGTCTGGCAATAATCACTGCTTTTTAGTAGCCATGCAGTATTGCTTCTCAAAACCTTGAAGTCCTAAGTAGCTGAAATAAGAAATACTTATCTGTACACATCAAAGTGAAACTATCTTCTACCAAAGACAAAGATTTTAAAGGCAATCAGAGAAGAAAGATTACTTTCAAAGGACTGATGATTAACAATCCACTTCTTCACAACATGGAAACCAAAATATAATGGAGTAATGTTTCAATGTGTAAAAACAATCTAGCCAACTAAAATTATGCTCAGTAAAATCATCTTTCAAGACTGAAGGGAAGTTCCTTAAAAAGTTAAACATGAAATTTCCATTATTTTTAGTGTTAGTCACTCAGTTGTGTCTTGAGTGCCATATGACCTAGCAATTTCACTCCTAGATATATATCCAAAAGAAATGAAAAGTATTCAAACAAACACTTGTACAAAATGTTTGTAACAGCACTATTCACAATAGGCAAAAGGTGAAAACAACCCAGTGTTCTATAAACTGATGAAAGGACAAATGAAATGTAGTACATTGATAACAGCGAAATATTCTGTTATGAAAGGGAATGATACATGTTACAATGTAGATGAAACTTATGGTAAGTGAAAGAAGCCAAGCCCAGAAAGTCACATGTTACATGATTCCATTTATATTAAGTATCCAGAAGAAGCAAAGTCATAGAAAAGCAGATCAGCCATTGCCAGGAGCTGGGGGAGAGGGAAATGGGAAGTGACAGCTTAATGGATTCCCAGTGGGGTGATGATGTTTCAAACCTGACAGAGGTGATAGATGAGTAAGGCTGTCAGTGTACTAAAGGCCACTGAATTGTACACTTTTTAAAATTAAAACTGTTAGCTTACTTTTGGCCGTGCTGGGTCTTTGTTGCTGCGCAGGCTTCCTCTAGCTGCAGCGAGCAGAGCCCACGCTCTGGTTGTGGTGCCTGGACTTCTCACTGGGGGGCCTTCTCTTGCTGCGGAGCATGGGCTCTAGAGTGTGCTGGCTCAGTACCTGGGGCACACGGGCTTAGTTGCTGCTCGGCCCGCGGGATCTGCCTGGACCAGGGATGGAGCCTGTGTCCCCTGCCTGGATTCTTAACCACTGGACCACCAGGGAAGCCTCTGTATGCTTTAAAATAGCTAATTTTATATTATGTGAATTTTACTTTCGAAAAAGAATTAGGAGAAAAATCAAACCTGAATTTGACCATTTTACAGAAAATATAAATGAGGGAAATAGGACATCAGAGGTCCATGTTAAATGACACCACTGAGACACAATGAACAAAGCTCAGACTGTGGAAAGCTCTAAAAGAAAGGACTCCACTGCTTCAATAAAAGTTTACAAGAAAAGAAAAAGGGATGGAAGAAGGATCTATAGACTAACAGTTTAATGTCTTTCAGATCACAATTACACTGTATGGACATATTAGGACCCTTATTAATATAGACTGTGTATTAGAAAACCCACAAAAACAAAACAACTTACCAAAAAGCATGAGATGATGGAGAACCGTGAACACTGACTGGATATAATATTAGAAATTACAACAGATGAGGTGGTTGTTTAAAAAGACAAAATGATAAGATGCTGGGATGTGCTTCAAAGTGATCCAGGCTCATGGGTAATCGTATACATATATTAGGGATGTTCAAACATGAACTGACCGATGAGTATATGGGAGTACTACCTTCTACTATTCTTTCTACTTTGAACATGTTTGAAATTTTCTATAGTGAAGAGAAAAAAAATAGGATGAGATAAAGCTGTGTTCAGGCAAAAGCAAACAGACAAAACCCCCAGACAACTAAGAATGATCACTAATGGACTATCCCAAAAGAAATTCTGAAGGATCAACTTTAAATAGTCAGAGAATGATCACAGAGAGAAAATCCAGGATGTAAGAAGGGACAGAGAGCAACAAAGTAGTAAAAATATGTGGGTCAATCCCAGCAAACCAAGGCAGAGTAAAGTGGTAACAGTGTCATAAACTGCAGGGGATTCCCTGACAGTCCACTGGCTAAAACTCCATGCCCTCCATGCAGGGGGCCTGGGTTCAACCCCTGGTCAAGGAACCTGATCCCACATGCTAAAATTAAGAGTTTGCATACCGCAGCTAAAGGTCCCGCATGCTGCAAGAGTTGAAGACCCTGCGTGCAACAGCTAAGACCCAGCACTACCAAATAAACACATAAATATTTTTAAAAAGGCTTTAAAAATGATAAAATTTATTATTATTTTTTATCTTTTGGCCATGCCACACAGCATGTGGGATCTTAGTTCTGGGGCTAGGGGTGGAAAAACTGCACCCCTGTGCCTTGGCAGCGTGGAGTCTTAACCACTGGACCACTAGAGAAGTCCTCAAAATGATAAAATTTAGATGCAATACAATTATGACAGAAGGAAGGAGCTAACAAAATAAACCCATACACACAAAAACTGGGAAAATTAACACCCATAAGGGAATTCTTCGAACACAGAAAAATAATCCCCTATGGAAAAACATTCAGGGAGGAATGAGAAGTACCAGAAATTAAATATGTGTGAGTAGATCTAAATGAATATTCACTGTAAAAAATGCTAAAAATAATGTCATATGAAGAAGCTAGCTGTGGGTGCCGTCAGAACTCACCAGGAGCTAGGGGAAGATCTGTTGCTGCTAGAGGACAGGAGGAAAAATGGTGTAAAATTTAACTGCATTTTGCCAGTATGTTAATTAGGGTAAGGACTGCTAACTACTGTAGTACTGTAACAAACAATTCCCAAAATATCAGAACTAACTTGTCTTTTCCAATGCCATAGTAACCAGTAACATTCAAGATGATGGTGCTCTGAGCATGCTGTGTACACAGAATAGGAATATAATGTACACATGAAACTTATTTAATGTTATAAACCAAAGTTCAGTTCCGTTGCTCACTTGTGTCTGACTCTGCGACCCCATGGACTGCAGCACACCAGGCTTCCCTGTCTATCACCAACTCCTGGAGTTTACTCAAACTCATGTCCGTTGAGTTGAGTAATGGTGATGCCATCCAACCATCACATCCTCTGTCATCCCCTTCTCTCCCTGCCTTCAGTCTTTCCTAGCGTCAGGGTCTTTTCAAATGTGTCAGTTCTTTGCATCAAGTAGCCAAAGTATTGGAGTTTCAGCTTCAGCATCAGTCCTTCCAATGAATATTCAGGACTGATTTCCTTCAGGATGAACTGGTTGGATCTCCTTGCAGTCCAAGGGACTCTCAAGAGTCTTCTCCAACACCACAGTTCAAAAGCATCAGTTCTTTGGCGCTCAGCTTTCTTTATAGTCCAACTCTCACATCCATCCACGACTACTGGAAAAACCATAGCTTTGACTAGACCTTTGTTGCCAAAGTAATGTCTCTGCTTTTTAATATGCTGTCTAGGTTGGTCATAACCAAAGTTACCCCTATAAAAAAAATTAAAAAATAAATGATGATTCCCTATCAGCCTGAGTTCCTCAGTGACTATATAAATAGATAGAGGATCTTCCCTTGCCCTAGGAGGTGAGAACCATGGATTTTCATCTGGGGCTTGAGAGTGACAGATTCTCCTCTCCCAGCATCAGAAAGCTATTGCTTTGAAGGATTTTGCTCCTTCTGAGGAAGCAGATGAGACCTTATGCTCGTCTCCTGGCAGCCACCAACCTTCTCCTTTAGTCCTGCATCAGCAAGAACTGGCACTCTCGTCTGCTGCCTGCCCCTAGTTTTCTCACAGCACCCATTGGAGACACATGGGAAGGAGTTTGCCAATGCATGTGATCGTGCCTTGTATCTGGGAACTCCAGCTAACCCACTCTGACATGGTAGCCCAAACTTTGCCTCTAGTGATTTGCTCAAACTTTACTTTCTTCTCTACCACTTGTATGGCAACTGCTGTTTTCAGCCGTGTTCTGCCGAAGGTTCAATAGTTGAGGAGTCTTCTCTCCTTGGTTGTTCTTTCTTAGCATCCAGTTTCCTTGGTTGCCTTGTGACCTCAGTCCTCTGATATTCTCAAGAAAAGTTTTGTAGAGCATCCATCTTTTTTTCTCGCTAGGATAGATGCGACGTTCTTTGTAGCTTTCTGTACAGTCAGTAAGAAATCCATCCTAATTGTGTGAAGACTACTGCAGCATAACTTAGCCTATTCAAATGGATAGGGTAGTTTTTATCTACATTTCTCTGGTGACTAATGATGTGGAGCATGTTTACATGTACATATTTGCCATCTGTACCTTCTGTTTCAAGACAAAGCACAGATATTGATGTAAGGATAGACATTTCCTGTCTTAGATATAGAAAGCACTTCTCCAAAGAGCCATAGTTCCATTTTATGGAAAATTTTATTTGGAGACCACAAGGCTCTGCTTAGCCTTTTAGTTTATGAGCCTATTGGCTTCCTGTTTGGTTTCATGGCCTCTTTCCTATGTAGTTTAGGATTTTGCAAATATCTTGAGGGCAAAAGCCTAGAGTAAGGTAACATTACACATTCACTGGAATGGCTAGAGTTAAAGAACTGATGATATCAATATAATTGGAGCAGTATCATTTGGGGGAATGTAAAGTGATACAATCCTTTCTAAAATACTTGAATAGTCTCTTATGAAGTTAACCATATACTTAGGGTATGATCCAGCAATTGCACTCCTAGGTGCATCTAGGAAAATGAAAATATATATCCATGCAAAGCCTCATAAGCATTTGTAGCATCTTTATTCATGATAGCTTAAGACTGCCAGTGGTCATCAACAGCTGAATGGATAAACAAATTGTGGTATATCCATACACTGGAATACTACTCAGCATTTAGGAAGAATGAACCACAAATACATGTAACAACATGATGAATCTCAAAATATGCTGAGTGAAAAGAAACCAAACTTAAAAGAGCACTACAAAGAAGAAAAAAAGCACTACAGTATCATTCCATTCATAGCATGAACTAGGAAAGACATTTCCCATATATGGTGACAGAGAACAGATTAGTGGTTGCCTGGGGTGAGGATGGTGAGTGGGGATTAATTTATGATCAAGGAAAAGAAATTTTCTGAGATGAGGGAAAGTTCTGTGCCTTGAGTATGGTGATGGTTGCGTGCTAAGTCGCTTCAGTTACGTCCAGTGTTTGCGACACCACGGACTGTAGCCAGGCCCCGCTGTTCATGGGGTTCCCCAGGCAAGAATACGGGAGTGGGTTGCCGTGCCCTCCTCCAGGGGATCTTCCTGATCCAGGGATTGAACCTGAGTCTCTTATATCTTCTGCACTGGCAGGTGGGTTCTTTACCACTACCACCACCTGGGAAGCCCATGGTGATGGTTACACGGATATATATATTTGTCAAAACTTTTGGACTCGTTTTATTAAATATAAACAAAACCTCAATGAAGTTGACTTAAAAAAATTTTTTTTCACAATAGTAAAAGAAATTTATCAGTTTCAAAATCAATAGTCAGACAAAGATAATTACGATTGCAAGTCATAATGGGAACATGATTAACCTAACAATATAAAATAATTACACACAATTTGGGGGATGAAGCAGAGTGATGTAAGTGGAAACGCATACATGCACATGTTTTCATCTGCCCAGCCAGCCTATGTCTTTTGAAGTGAAGTGAAGTCGCTCAGTTGTGTCCGACTCTTTGCGACCCCGTGGACTGTAGCCTACTAGGCTCCTCCGTCCTCAGGATTTTCAAGGCAAGAATGCTGGAGTGGGTTAAAAATTTTTTAAGACAAAAAAATTCAATTACATCAGTATTAAGCATTCTTGCTCAACAAAAGTCATTGGAAAGTTAACAGGTGTATGATAAATTGGAAGGACATCTGCAGTGTCTAAACTCAGTAAGAAACTATTTTTTTTAAATCTTACAGTCAAAAAATGAGAAAGCAAATCTAACAGGAAAATGGGCAAAGAATATGGACCAGCAATATGAACCAACAAAGAACCTGAAATGCAAACATCTAACAAACTTATGAAGACATGCTCCAACTCTAATTAAGAATTAAAGCTTTGCAAATTTAAAACCATATTTTGTACCAAACTTACAATGAACAGATAGATAATTCCTATCTTAAATTGGTCCATAAAAGTAAAAAAAAAGAATAATAAATGTTCTGATTTTAAAACCAGATAGAGACAGCACAAGAAAAGTATAGGTGCGTTTGGTTTATGCACATAGACATAAAAATCCTAAGTGTAAAATTTGCCTGTCAAAGTCAATGGTATATGTATAAATATACATTATGACCAAGAGGCAACTGAACATAGAAGTTAACACAAACAGATGCAGAGACTTTGGCATCAGACTACTTAGGTTCAAATCCAAGCTCTGCCACTGGTTAGCTGTGTGACCTTGGGCTTGTGTTACTTAGCCTTTCTAGAGGAAGATAAAATATTCTCTGAGAATGCAAGAGTATTTAATCAGTGAAATTTACCATGACTATAGGCTGGATGAGAAAACTCATGTAATTAATCATAAGATTAACTTATATGGTAAATGCGGAAAAAAATATGATACAGTTCTACAGCTATGAGAAAAAGTTATTAGCAAATTTGAAATAGCAGGAAGGTGGCTCAGTGGGTACAGAGTCTGCCTGCAATGCAGGAGATGCAGGTTTGCTCCCTGAGTCAGGAAGATCCCCTGGAGGAGCCATGGCAAACCACTCCAGTATTCTTGTCTGGAGAATCCCAAGGACAGAGAAGCCTGGTGGGCTACAGTTCCATGGGGTCGCAAAGAATCAGACAGAATTGAAGTGACTGAGCACATACGTATGAAGATCTTTTGCCACAGTCTTTCATAAATATCATACTTAAAGGAGAAACTTTAAACACTTTTCCATTAAATACTGGACCAAGACAAGGATTCCTATTTTCACTGTTACTGTTTAACATAACAGTAAAATCATTTGCTAGAGATTCTAGCAAATGCTATAGGAAAAAGGAGAAGAAATACGAAATATGAGGATTTTATAGCAGAAGCTGTACAAAGTGCCATGACATGTCTCAACTTAAGAGATGTGCTCTGGGCTTTCAAGCCCGGCAAGCTAGCAGCGCTGGCCCAGGGAGCAGCCCTTGGTCAAGGACAGAGAGGCTTAGAGAAAAACTCCCCAGTTTCCTTGCCTCTTAGGCTGAGTCTGCAGTGTGCTGTATCCTGATCCCCAGAACACCCAAGTGGGTTAAGCCCCGTTTGCCATAGCAGTAATCAGCTCTCTTTATGGGCTTCAACATCACCTCGCAAATAAACTGTTTGTATTCAGATCCTTGTCTCTGGGAAAATCCAACCTAAGAAAACAGCCAAATGCTTTTTCTATGACTACTGAGACTATGCAATTTTCTTTGTCAATGCAGTGTCTTCCTTTAATAGCTTTTGTTTCTGGATAGAACCATTCTTTTATTCCTGGATAAAACTTTCTTGGTAATGGTGTTTTTATTCACCTTGGGTTTCATCTTGCTACTATTTTGTTGTCGTTTTTTTTTAAAAATTTATTTTAATTGGAGGATAATTACTTTACAATATTGTGATGGGTTTTGCCATACATCAGCATGAATCAGCCATAGGCATACATGTGTCCCCTCCTGCTAGTATCTTTTTTAATCCATCTATTACCTAGGGAAAGTAGTCTACAATTTTCTTTTACTATTTCTACTTAGTTGTAGTAAAACTCATCTTAGACAAATGAAATATTTCCTTTTTCTATCTTCCTAAAGTATTTATATAAAGTACACCCATTTCAAGTGTACAATTAAGTGATTTTTACTAAATCTACCAAGTTATTACATCATCACCATAATCCAGTTTTAGAATATTTTCATCACTCCAAAAAGACTCATGTCCATTTCAGTTTAGTCCATTAATCTGCTTTCTGTCCCCATGGATTTGCCTTTTCTAGACATTTCTTCTAAATGGAATCATATAAAGTGTGGTCTTTTGTGTCTGGTTTCTTTCACTTATAGTATTTTTGAGTGAAGCTCTCCATTTTTGTTTCTTATTTCATTTTTTCTGGAGCTTTCACAGAGTCCTTGTGGCTTGGCTGGACCTGGGAATAACCTGGGCCTCCAACTCCCAGACCCCCTAGACTGACCTAAGTCAGAGCCCCTTCCTCCCAGTGGGAGAGCCTCCCCAGTCCTCCCACCCGCTTGGGAGAGTTGGTCAGGTGGACTGAACAATGAAGGACCTGCCTTCTGGCTTGTTCTGGGAGGTTTATCTGTGGTTTTACTTGTTGAGAGCCCAGTGTTGTGCTGTCTTTTTCTGGTGATGAAGACTTTCTACAGTTGCAACCACTCACTAAGTAGTGGAGACATTTCCAAGGGCTTGGCGATCTTTACTCAGGGCACCCTTTATGCAGGCCACTACCAGCACCCCAGGCTTCTGCAGCTGTCTTTCCAAATTGGTGTTTGCCTGCTGCTCGGGAGTGGTAAAAACACCTCAACATGAATTTTCTGCATAGGGACGGAAACTATTGGAGGGTGACATTCGCTGGGGCTCTATTTGTTTATGAGGGAGAGTTACCATAATAAGCTTTACACGCTGCCCACCGTTTGGAACCCACTTAGATTTAGATATAAGTGTAACTGCCCTAGAGACAGTTAACAGCGGCAAGTAAAAAATGGGCAGGATCGAGAATGATGGTCTTAAGTCAAAGAAGACTTAATTCTATGTATGTTGTTGTTTAGTTGCCCCGTCGTGTCCAACTCTTTGCAACCCCAAGGACAGCAGCATGCCAGACCTCCCTGTATAATGAGCTTATTTTTTTACAATTGGGAAATTAAAAATAAAGTTTTTACTTAATATGCAAACATATCTGAAGACCCATCCTGATGCATGTGATAGTAGGTCGACAAGGAGCTCTTTCTCCTAGCCCTGTAATCCTGGCCGGGTTGGTGGATCTCGGTGGGCAGAGCCCCTGGGAGGCGGGAAACGAGCCGGGGAGCCTGGGTCTCCAGGACTGACCACTGCCGCAAAGACCCGGCGTCTTCCGCGCTAGGAGGCAGCACTGCCCCGAGGAAAACCGCACCGGTTCAGCCAACAGGATGTGTAGCGGGGGGCTGGTGCCTCGCCCGCCCGGCGCCCCCACCTGAAAAGTGGGCGGGGGCAGAGCAACTTTGCGGGGAAGTTACAGAGCGGATTCAATGATTAATGTCGGGTCGCCCTCTTGGTCTTTGGACAACAATCAGTGGGCGCTCGTAAATAGCCAGTTGGTTCCCCTTTCGCTCCGGCAGAAATATTGGGAGCCACGAGAGTCTGGGGGCCTCCTAGACTCGGGACGCTCTCGCCGAAGGATCCCCCTAAACTCTCCAAAGCCTAGTCGGTTGCTTGCGGGCTTGCGGCGCGCGGGGGACTACAGTTTCCAGAGTGCCCTGCGGCGACGGGCGGAGCCGGGGAGCGCCCGTAGCCAATTAGGGGGTCTCCGGGTGTTGCCGGGGAGCGGCAGGTGGAGCCGGGTCCCCGGAACGCCTCCCGAGGCTGGCTGGCTGGGCGGGGGGCGCGGCGCAAGCGGGGCCGACTCTGCGCGGTTCCGGGTGCTCCAGCCGCGAGCTGCCCCGGGCGCACTTGACCCGGGTCGGGCTGCGGGGAAGGGCCGAGCGCCGCGGTGCCCTCCAGCCCCTCCGCCTCGCGGTCGCGGGAGCCGGCGCCACCTCGCCCCCCGGCTCGCGTGCCCCCAGCCATGGCTTTCGCCAATTTCCGCCGCATCCTGCGCCTGTCTACCTTCGAGAAGAGAAAGTCCCGCGAATATGAGCATGTCCGCCGGGACCTGGATCCCAACGAGGTGTGGGAGATCGTGGGCGAGCTGGGCGACGGTGCCTTCGGCAAGGTTTACAAGGTGAGGGCTCTGAGTGGGGGACTCGGGGCGCGTGGAGCCGCTCCGGAAGGGAGGGGCACTGGCCCTGGGCAGTCTCGGCCGCGCCTCGGGAGAGCGCGGAGGGGCTGCCGGGTCCTGAGCTCGGAGTCCCGGGCTCCCGTCCCGGTGACCCTGCTTCTTTGCCGGGGGCGGGGGGTACCCTCACTCTGCCGGGCTCGGTCGCTGCGTCCCCGACGGCACGGCGGCTGCCCCCAGGCTTTTTCCGAGCACTTCCTGTGCGCCCTGCACGGCTCTCGGCGCCGCAGGGGGAGACAAAGGGGCGCTTATGGAACTTTAGCGTCCGAGACCAGGCGTACTTTTTAGGGGAGTCCACCCAGAGGCTGTGAGGGTGCCGAGGCGATGGGCACAGAGCAACTGGGCCGCGTGAAGGGTTGGGTCCGATGAAATTAGGGACACACCTGAAGATGAGCCAGAGACGGAGAGACCGGGCGTGGGGGTGGGGGTTTTGGAGTGAGAGGTTAGGCTTGGAAATGGAGGCTGGGGCCGGCAGAGCCGGAGGTTAGGGCCTCTGGAAATCCTGCGCTTCGGGGGTCAGATTTGAGTATGTGCGTGAGTCACTGCTGGGGAGTCTCCCAGTCTGTAGTCACCTTTCCCCTGGAGGAATAGAGGAGGCCAGAGAGCTTTTGTAGAGGGGTGGGTGGGGCAGAGCTGATTAATTCTAGACACGTTTGCTGTAGGCATTGTCTGGTTCTTGGTCCTGAGAAGAAATTCTGTGTTGCTGAGTCGTACTGGGGACCCAAAAAACACTTAGGGCTTTACGCCACCCTTCCCTGATCTCCTTCCTCCCAGGAAACCCTTTACCCAGAGAAACCCACATGTTCTCCAGGAGGACACCCCCTTCCTGAGCCACCGTCACCTTCCATGGGGTTCCTTTAGCATGTGGACCCCTCTGACCCCAGGACTTCCCTTTCAGGAGCTTGGACCACAGATAGGGCTTCTCTCAGCTCTCCTGGTCAAGACTTGCTCTTTTTGACCTGAAAGAGGTGGTGAGCTGAATTACCAAATTGTAGTCCCTGAAGGAGTGGCATTAGCATCACCTGCGAGCTTATTAGAAATGCAGGATCTGAGGCCCCACCCTAGACCTAATCAAGTAGGGTCTGCATTTTAACAGATCCCCAGGTGATCGCTAAGCACTTTAAGTTTGAGAAACGGGGCTGGAGGCAATTTGAGGCCACCGCGGCCCATCCCGGTGTCCGTTTTGTTACCACCTCCCCTCTAAGCAGGCACTTCCTGTTACAGGGTGGAACCCCACTGGAGCAAAGGTTCTGTGGTTGGAGAGGCTGTGACACTCACTCCCGTGGCTCTCAGCTGTTCGACTTGCGCTTCTCTGCCCGGGGGCTCTGCGTGTGGGCGAGGGCAGCCAGCACAGTCTACACTGGCAGTCTTTTCTTTACCCTTCTCAAAGCTCCCTATTCCCTCTAGGCATCAGAAAACTGTCCTCAGTCTTGCGCTACCCCCCACCCCCGACACCCCGGGGAAGTCCTGGCCTCCCCCAGACAGGTGTGCTCTGACCACTGTGAGGGCAGCTGCACCCTCGGTCAGCTCACCATGTCCCCCACTTTCTCCAAAAGGTTCAGTTGGTGTTTTCAGCGCATGCTGTTGGCTCTGGCAGATGTTTGTTCTGTTCAGGGTTGGCTTGCAGTTAGTCTTGTCCCTGTACCCTAATGAGTCCTAATGGCTTCATATGGTTCGTTTTCTTTCAAATCTAAATGCAGAACTTTGCTTTTAGGCTGGTAAGATTTCCCCTTGTCAGTTTCGATTGTCATTTCCGCCTGCTTTAGCTGGGTAAAACTCCCCTACTGCTCTCAAAGTTCCATACAGAGGAGCCCATCTGATTCACAAGTTATTTTGTCTGCTGTTTCTCCAGAACACGTGGACCCTTTTAAAAGCGAGTGTAGTGCTCAAAGCTGTGAGCTGACTGCACCCTAGCTCCCCACCCACCACCTCAGAATCCTTGGTTTTCTCCTAATTAAGAGAAGGCAAAGCTAAACCAGGAGAACTGCGTGATGGCTGATACACCTGGACAGTTTATTAGTTCCCCGCCTGGCCATACTGTGTGACTGTTTGATTCAATCCATCCCCATGTTATGTGCAGGAACCCTGGGTCCCAGGGAAAGGAATGGACTAGAACCAAGGCTCTGGACTTAGTTACAGCTTCGGAAGATCCGTCTTAGATCAGAGATCTCTGTGACCCCTATCTCCTGCCCTGGAGAAGTGCTGTTTACTCAGCCCCTTATGGATGAAGCAGGTGTTGCTTCAGTAAAGATTCTGTTCAGGGGCTGTAACTCCTCCCTACTTCATTGTCCCCTGGCATGGCCATCTCAGCAGCAAAGGACAGAGTTTCCATCTAGGTTTTTTATCTTGGAGCAGAACTTCTGCTTTGACACGGTGCCTTGGTAAGCAGTTGGCTGTGAACTGGGCAAGTGACAGCCAGCAGCGTCTCCTCTTCCTGTCCTAGAACTGGCAGGTTTTTCTTCTGGCAGCCTAGTTGGTGATGGCCTTCCTGAGGTAAGAAGTCACGAGAGGGACTTCCCTGGTGGTCCAGTGGCTAGAATTCCACTTTCCCAGTGCAGGGGGTCCAGATTCATTCCTTGGTCAGGGAACTAGGTTCCACATGCCACAACTAAGATCTAAGGTCCCGTGTGCTGCAATTAAGACCGGATACAGTCAAATAAATAAAATAAATATTAAAAAAAGTAAGTCACGAGAATCCCAATTTGTCAAAGACTTGCCAGAAGAGGATGCCAATTATAGATTTCCTGTTGGGTGTTGTTGAGGCTCAAAGCCTAAGCATTAGCAGTCAAGATGTGTGTGTGCGTGCGTGCTAAGTCGCTCAGTTGTGTCTGACTCTTTGTGATCTCATAGACGGTAGTCCTCTAGGCTCCTCTGTCCATGGGATTCTTCAGGCAAGAATGCTGGAGTGGGTTGCCGATGCCCTCCTCCAGGGGATCTTCCCAACCCAGGGATAGAACCCACAGCTCTTACGTCTCCTGCATTAGCAGGTGGGTTCTTTACCACTAGTGCTACTATGGAGCCTCTTTTCCCCTTTTCTCCCTGATAAGCCACCAGTTTATCTCTGGTGAAAAGGAGGTATGTAAGATTGATTTTGTGCAAAGTCAAGTTCACTCTCACCTACTTCTTAAGTGATTTCAAATGGATTTCAGAGAGAAATAGTTTCTAGTTTACTATTAGATACAAAGTAAAAGTCATAGGCTATATAGTTTAAAAATTCTTGCCCTTGGAAATAATCTTTATTCTGAAGACAGGATGGAAAGGGACGTGTTTGGTGTGGTGTTGAATGGAAAAATCTGCCTTTAGCAGGTGTGCCCACTCTCATAGCTGGGGATGAAGCAGGCCCTTAAATGCTGAACAGAGGCGGGGAGCCTGTGGACCTGAAGGGTTGGGTTAACAGGCTGAGATTTTTTTTTCTGCTTCCTGAAGGTTGCTTTAGTTGTCATGTTGTCTTTGAGCTTTCAGAAGTTTTATGATTTTGCAAACTTAGGAGTACAGTACAGATTTTTTTTAGTTAAAAAGAAAAACATTGCCCTAAGTCCCATCAATTGCTGTTAACATTTTGATATATTTCCTTCCAGACTCAATTGATTTTTATGGAGAAAAAAATTTGTGTAAATATGGACATACTATTACAGTCCATGGGATTCTCTAGGCCAGAATACTGGTGTGGGTAAGCCGTTCCTTTCTCCAGGTGATCTTCCCAATCCAGAGATTGAACCCAGGTCTCCCACATTGCAGGCGGATTCTTTACCAGCTGAACCATCAGGAAAGCCCAAGAATACTGGAGTGAGTAGCCTATCCCTTTTCCAGCAGATCTTCCCAACCCACGGAGAAGGCCATGGCACCCCACTCCAGTACCCTTGCCTGGAGAATCCCATGGATGGAGGAGCCTGGTGGGCTCAGTCCATGGGGTCGCTAAGAGTCGGACACGACTGAGCGACTTCACTTTGACTTTTCACTTTAACGCATTGGAGAAGGAAATGGCAACCCACTCTAGTATTCTTGCCTGGAGAATCCCAGGGACAGGGGAGCCTGGTGGGCTGCCATCTATGGGGTCACACAGAGTCGGACACGACTGAAGTGACTGAGCAGCTTAGCAGCAGCTTCTCAACCCAGGATTCGAACTGGGGTCTCCTTTACCAGCTGAGCTACCAGGGAAGCCCATAATTGATTTTTATGGAGAAAAAAAAATTTTGTTTAAAATGCAAGGTTGTAATTTACAAAGCTACAGTGTTTTATGCCATCTTTCATTCCTAAAACCTCTTCCTGTGTTATTGTAAATGCTTCACACATACTTTCTGGGATAGGTCAGTGCCCCCATGATCTTAATCTTCTTGGATATTTAAGTAATCCCCTCGTAAATTTTTATTTTTACTGTTAACAAGTTAAATTGCTATAAGTGCTTATCATGTGCCAGGTGCTGTGCTAAATGCTTTACACGATACAGTCAGTTCTGCTGCAATGTAAATATGCCTTCCTAAAAATCCCTAAACTGTGCAAAATCAGTCAATAAAAATCAGAGGCCTTGTGAGCAAATGGGGATAAGGGCACAACACTTAAAAACTTCATCAACTAATTAGAAGAAATAAAGATTGCCTAAACAAACAAGTGGCTGAGTTTTATACAAGTTTTGTGGATGAGAAATATAGAATTATGGGGACTTCCATGGTGGTTCAGCGGCCAAGACTCTGCGCTCTGAAATTAGGTGGATTCCCGTCTGGGATGGGTGTGTCTCAGAGGTGCTGACAGACGTTTGAGGGGCTTGTGCCACGTGTGTGTTCGGTTGCGTTGGGTCACTTGGGAAAGTTTTCTGTGCTTACCTAGTGTTTCTGGCAGGCAACACATAAGCAGATGTGAATTTAGCATTTTGATAAAATTGTTCCCTGATACATCAGTGGTATTGGAACAAAACTGACATTTTTAAAAAGTAAGCATTATAGCAAAGC